GGGATGGAGCTGGGGCCATGCCGGCCCCGGAGGCCTGTCGGGGGAGCGGGGCCCGGGTGAGAGGGAAGAGGTGGGACGGTGCCTCCTCCCGACCGCCTCTTCCCCGCCACCGGCTGAACACCGGTGAACAGGTTTCGAAGCGAGAGCCACGTCTCTGGGGCGTCGGCTAAAATAAACACAACTTCATGGAGAAAAAGGCCTGCGTGAGTCAGAGTCAGGAAGTGCCAAAAATAGAAAAGCTGTTTGAGGGGGGAGGGGGCTGAGAGGGTGACATATGAACACAGGGTGCATTGCTTCTCTCTGGGCTTTGGGTCGGGCTCTACCTGAAGTCTCAGGAATGCAGTAGGAGCACCGTGTCAGTGGGCACCGCCGACAGCCCGGGGCTCAGCTCTGTGGTTAGGTTATCTTTGGTTAAATCCCATTTTCCATCTTGCTCTGTACGGAGCTAGTTTAACAAGCAAATAACTGATGATGCCAGCTCTGATCTTTTAAACAATAACGTGGGTTCACTGTGAATACTCTATAGGACTTCAAGTGAGTGCTTGTGCTTAAAAAAGGGCCAGAGAAGAATATCTAATTGTTTTTGCGCCTCCTACTTCAGTGCTGGCAGATTGTTCTGTGTGATTCCTCACTCTCTATCCAGAGCTGAACTTTTGGGCATTTAAATTTTGTGTTGGGAAAATGTGGTTGTTGTATCTAGGCTACATGCAAGGTGCTGTTGTAGCCCCGGATAGCTGTGAGACAACCTGTGATGTGAGATTTTGACTGGGAGGCGTTCTGGAATGACAGACAAAGCTTAATTTGTCAAGAGAAATGTTTTCTTCCTAATTTCTTCCCCTTTCCGTGTCTAAGTCAAATCTAATTATGTTGTTGTGTAACAGAGTAGGTTTAAAGACAGCAACAGACATTCAATGGCCTAATCGAGCACTTGCAACTGAACTGAAGTTCATGTGAGATCTTTACTGGTTCTTAGACTATTAAAAGGCCTCTGGAAACATTTAGTGATTTCACCTTAGCAGGCAAACTGGAAGACATGGAAGCAGCACTGGAGAGACCCATTTCTGTGAAAATGAAGAGTAAGGCTGTTTCCTTGTAAAGAAGAATCTAGGGAGAGAGGAGCATATACTGGGATGGTGGGAGAATGAGGCTCAGGTCCTTTGTACTGGTTTGTTACTTTGGAAGAATAAATTGGCCTCTAGTTCTCCCTGCGTAGACAGGTGACAACAGCATGCTCAGACCTCAGAGGACCCAATGACCAGGATTAAAGCAGGATAGGAGTTTGACACTCCCTTTCAATGGGCTGCCAGCTAAATATTTGTTTTCCTAGTGAGCTGATACAAAAGCCAAGAGTAAGAGGTTTATCTCGGAGTTTAAACTTTACCTGCAGGTGTTCCTCACCATCACACCCGAGCCTGTGCTGGATGTGGCATTCCTTCAATATGAAATCCTGCTGGCTATAGTCTTTACTTGTGAGTTGCAGTATTTGCCCAGTACTATGAAGAGGACACAGCTACAAGTAATATACAATAGATGCCATATATACATCTATCAGAAAATAAGTGGATGCTTACTAACTCTATATTTTATTACAAGATAATAAAACTCTCTTCTCTTCCTCCCTCCTAGCTTTAAACACACGTCTTCTCTGGGAGGAGTTCCTCTATCTATCAAATCTACTAAGCCACCTTTCCCCCCCTCTTCTTATGTTGCTACAAGTAGAACGTTACCTGGAAGGTTTAAGTATCTGTCTGTCATACTGGCTTACAAGCCCCACAAATAATTTCTAAAAGAGGCAGCCTTCTCAAGGGAGGCTTAAAATGCTTCTGTTCTTGCTTTTCTAGTCCAGTTGCATCCAGATACTTGTGTTTTATTGATCCATTTTAGAACAATAGTCAGAATACCATTATGCTATAAAAGAAAAACTCATCCTCCAATGTATCCTATGCTTGATCTCTTTTCTTGAGCATGCTCATAAACCAGAGTGCAGTGTCCAAGTGCTTAATGTCATGTGTGATAACTTGAATTTAATGCAGGGTCCTTCACATGGCATTTCAAGCTTCATTTAAAAGTTGAGAAGAACAAGAATCTCACTTTATGGGCTTAACTTTTAATTATTTCAGTTCATCTTGGAGGGAGCTAGTGATGATTTGGAAGAAATACAAGTCATAAAAACAGCTTTCTCCTTCCTGTTTAAGATTGAACTGTGTCAGCTTTTGTTTTGGCTGGACTTTAAGCCAGTGAATGAAAAAAAGACCAAGAAGTACAGAAAAAGGGAGCTAAGAAAGAAGTGAGGGTGCTTAGCAACTCGAGACTGCAGAATACAGGAGGCACACGTACGTCAAGACAACAAGTTTAAAAGGAACTGGTGGTGAGTCAGGAAGTGGTCACTCCAGTCAGTCTCTTCCTTATTGTGCAAGAGTGGTAACTAAGCTCATGTGCTTTCCAGTTAAACTTAAAAGTGGTCTCTGCTAGTCATGCTGGATTGCTACAATTACACATTTGTCCCATGTCTTAAGTCCTAGAATATTAGTTGTGCCTTACTGAGTATCTTCAGCTGTGATCTACCTCGCCTCCCTGCAATACTAGCTGGGTACACACAGCTATAAAATATGATACTATGCCTCGAGATGCCTCTTTCTAATGTATTATTGTGAAATACTGACGACTGGTTTTTTTTTCCCCCTCTATTCACCAGATTAAGCAACAATGGCATTTGTGAAGAGCGGGTGGCTGCTCCGGCAAAGTAAGTCATGGGCCTTTTACCTCCTTTTCTCCTCGCTGTGTCTAACTTCAAAAACCATCAGAGCAACTTAGTAATTCCTAGGTCTTTCTTAGAGTCCTTAGCCCTGTGGGTTGTTTTTTGTTTTTTTTTTAACCTTTAGAACATTTCATAAAATGACCTGTCATGACAGCATTTCCATGTGACCTTTTGGGTATGGTAGTGGGAAACAGGATATCCCATATCTGAGGTGTCTGACTGGCATTCAGCTTCAGATGCTGCTCTGTAATTAGTGCTGTATAAGTAGAGACTTGGAAACTTTACCTGACACCTTAACTTAAAGTCTTCAATTAGTCATGCCCTCTGCTTGTTCTTGCAGCAAGTTAGAACTAAAGCACCATATTAAGCGCTTAAAATAAACTCAGTTGTGACTTTGAATACTAGATAAAATATGGAACCCAATTCTGCAATGTTCTGAGGTGGAGATGTTGTAGTATAGGATTTTGCTTGGCACCTCTGAATGGCTGGGGCAACTATGAAGGATTTCTTGGTCTATTTTTTTTATTAACTAGGACACAAATACTTCACAATATGTGCCCTTAAAAGTGACTGTCTGATTTTTAAGGTACTATTCTACGGCGTTGGAAGAAGAACTGGTTTGACCTGTGGTCTGATGGCCGCTTAATATTTTATGATGATCAAAATCGCCATGATATAGAAGATAAAATCCACATGCGAATCCATTGCATCAACCTCAGAGTGGGGAATGAATGTCGAGGTAATAATGAAACCTTCAGGATTTGTGTATTCAGAGATTCTTTACAACTTCCATGCCTGCCCAGCATGCCATTTACAGCACTACTGCAGAAGTAAACATGTCCAAGAAGTGTGCAAATTCTTTGTTGTCAAAAAAAACCAAACAAAACTCCATGCCCAACCAACTACTAAATTCCCTTATAGATACGCAGAGCTAATAGGAAACCTCAGCAGATGTTTTAAGTGTTACTAAGTTCACTTCTAGCATTTGTTGGTACTCCACTTGATGCTGACACGAGTGTTGGAGAGTACTTATAGCTAAATACAGATTGGTTCTGCTCTAAGACACTTGCATTCCTTAGGAATGATGCTCAGAGCTACTTACTTTCAGGACACTAAAGAGTGAGAACACATTATTTCCTTCTGCAATTTGTTCTGATGCCACAGAAAGCAGCTACAACTGGCCCTACTTTATTTTGCCCAGAGTTCTGCAGAAACTGTCTCCCTTATTGTAAATGCGTTCATGAAATTCTGGTTTTAGCTATTTCATAACTCAACTCTTTTCTAACTCAGATTTCCAGCCTCCAGAGGGGAAGCAGAGAGACTGTTTACTGCAGATTGTTTGCCGTGATGGGAAGACAGTCAACCTCTGTGCAGAGAGCGCAGATGACTGCCTGTAAGTCTGCCAGAGAATATTGGGTTTTGCTGCCTTTTCCTCTCTTCTCTTTCTTTTTCTCTCTCTCCCTAATTATTTTACTTCCTGCAGACTTTCAGAGACATTTTAAGAAAGTTTTCAAACAAGCAAAAGCAGGCTTTCAATGACAAAAAATACAGCTCTCCTCTGAGAAGTTGTGTAGCTCATGCAAACTAACTGCAAGTTAAATCACTGAAAACACCCAAGGGTGAGGAGGAGTAAAAGAACCTTATTAATATGGTTAACGCAAGACTTGCTGAACACATTTTTTTCCCCACTTTTCCCATTCTTCAAGTAGTACATGACCCCACATAGCCCAAGAACATCACGATCAGTAGTAAATCCATTATTGTGAACTCTCAAATGAGCTTAGCTATGTATAGTTAGATAACTTCCAACAGCAGTGTTTGCCCAGTATGTGTGATGCATCGAGCACGCTCCGGCCATATGGCATGGGAGGATCTGTGTGAAGTATATGTACCCTCTGATCAGTAGTAAATGCATTATTGTGAACCCTCAAATGAGCTTGACTATGTATAGTTAGATAACTTCCAACACCAGTGTTTGCCCAGTATGTGATGCATCGAGCATGCTCCAGCCATATGGCACGGGAGGATCTGTGTGAAGTATATGTACCCTCTGTTCAAACTGCAATAGCATCAAGGCCCACACCCCCTAGTCAGCCCAGATGCAACTGTTCAGGCAGGAGATACAACCTCCCTGGTGTACCTCTTCCTATTTCCTTATCCCGAGCGTGGCTGCATGTTACCTGGCTGTTGTGCTTGCAGCGAGGACCTTCCAAACCACATCTGTTTCTTCTTGTGTTCCTCTGCAGCTCTGCAAAGAAAGTTAATTGTTTTTCAGTCTTTGTGTAACACTTTGTACATTCCTTTTAGTGTATCAAATATGCAGTATCTTAAACTCCACTCCTGCAGTCCATCTAGTTTTTTTCATAGTCCAAACCTTGTTTTTCTCCAAAAAAGAAAAAGTGGCATTAATTTTTATCAATGTTCCACTAAATGATGTGGGTTTTTTTTTCACAGGGCATGGAAAATTGCTCTCCAGGATGCCAGAACAAACACAGTAAGTGTCTTCTACCTAGACTTTCTACTGATTGAAAGCAACTGTGGTCCAGCAGTTTACTTCTGAAATCATGTTCCATCCTTCTCTGCTAGAGAAAAACAGGGTCATGAGCACGATGGCAAGGCTTGTGGGTGGGGAGAAGACTGATCCTCTGGATCATGGGTACATGTCATCCTTGCAGCTGAGTCCAGGCAAACACACGCTGGGTGGAAATGAATGATTTCAGGGAACGATTTCTCTGGGAGGACGTGAATGTTTGGGAAGCTGGTCTGTAAGGCAAACAGTCACTGAGGCTGTGGGCCTCTGCAATCAGTAAAAATGCATTTTCTACTCCTAGTGATTGTTGCCTACCAGGTGCAGTGCTAAAGGAAGCCTACTGTTACCTTTAGAAAAGAAAACAGAAAAAGAAGCTGTTTGTTAATGTAGATCCATTACATTGTGGGATGCTTCTTGGTGGAGACTAGGGGAGGAGCAAGAGGTGTTGGCAGGGGAGTGCAAGGAGGAATATACCACCTCTGCTTCACCATGCTAGCTGTGGAGAGTGAAGAGGTTAGGAATCCTAAAAACCACTCTGTGAGTCTTGGAGTTCTCTAGAGAGCTGTATCTTTGAGGAACCACATCCCTCCACCTGTGGGTGTTGTTAATTTGTTTTTTCTCCAGACTGCCTTCCAGAGTACTCCTCAGCACTAGCTTTCCTTAGATGGCTAAACTGAACCAACCTGAGATGTTTCTGTTTCATGGGGGAACACTGGGGTTTCTAGAATCTTATCTCAGTTGTTGAAGAGTCACATTAACATTTCTGCTGTACTGAGGCATCTGTCACATGATATAGCTTAGATCTGTGGATACCCAAAGCAAATACTTGTCATAGCAAAGCTACCCCAGACATGATTGCCTCTGACTGTAGCTATACTGTGCTGCTCCACGGTGTTAAATGAGAAGTGAAGGAACTGTCCTCACACAGAGGACACAACACTCATGGTCTGTCTACTCTAGCTTTAGGGGCTTTATCTTGCTTATGTGTGAGATGGTGACTCCTGGTTTCAGGAGTTGGGAGCTGCTTTTCATGTCTCTCACACTCTGCTGCTAACCCTGATAGGTGGCATTCAAAGCTTGGCACTTCATCACCTTAGTCAGGCCAGGCAGACCCCTGCTACTGACAGTAGGGCAGGCAGCTCTCTGCACAAGTGCTATCATAAATTACCACTTTCCAAAGCTATTAAAGATCTCTAACAAGGACTTGAACTAACCAGGTAACTGGGTTTGAGTCCATCTGTAGGTGTCTGACACAGCTTTCAAAAATACCGAGGTCCAGGAGGAGTCCAGGGCCTCCTAACTTTACTGGGTGAGAACTAGCTTTGAGAACTGTGCCATTTACAGACACGTCCAGCAGCGCCTCATAACTTTAGTGGAATAGCAGGGTGCTCACCCTAGCTTTGAGAACTGTGCCATTTACAGACATTTGCAGGCTTGTGTCATATACCTGTACAGAGTTCCCTGTAGCAGAACAGAAGGCATTTATTGGTAAGATGTAAACATTTGCTGGTCCTTTTCTCAAGAACACCTGCCTCTATTTAATAGAGTGCTTTCAACACTGTGTTTCTGTGTTTCAAGCAATCTTTAGAATCTCCAACACAAGTCTGACCTGAGATATGGCCATACTATGCCCTCAAAAGTCTTCCTACAGTCCAGGTGCAAGAGACAACAGGAACATTCTCTATTGAGCTACTAAAGTGTTTCTTTGTAAATTAAAAAAAGGGAGCTGTTTTTTTTCTTAGGATAGGGCACTGACTAAGAGCATCACTCAGATTTCTGATACTAGGGGCAAGACTATGTGGCTACTGTGATAAATCATAATTATCTTCGAATTGCCTTGTAGATGGATTCAAGTAAGTTACCACATTTTCCTCATAGCTGCCTTCAAAAAGGACCAGAATGATAGGTGGCATTTGCAAAGTAATTCCCTAAAAACAACCAAGCCCCTCAAATCCCTGCATTTAAACCTCTCTTACTGCTTTTTTTTTTTTTTAAGTCTCCTCAGAGCCAGAAAGTGAGAGGTGTCTAAGAACTGTGACAATGTTCTGCTAAGAAGTTTAGGTGTCACTTTTGGCTACTGCATTGGTTTCCTTTATCTGTTCTTGTAGAACATGGTGATATCACTATAGGGTGCCAGGAAGCAGCTAACTTAGTTGTGAAAACTTTTTTATCTGAAAATGGAGGATGGAAAACAGAGTAATTTCTAAAACTGAGGCTGCAAAATGAGGGAAGGAGTCAGTGTGCTTGCACACATGTGTATGCACATGTAGGCAAGAAATTTTATGGCTCCTTCCTGTGGTTCATCAGCCATTTGTATTCCCCCGGGTCTGCTCCCCAAATAGCTGCTTTTTGCAGTGCTTTATAAGGTACTGCTTTCTTAATTGCAGCTTGTCTAAAGGTTTCTCCTTCTCTGGGGTCATTAAGTCTTAATCCTTGCACTACTCTAACTGCTTGTCTGTAGGAAAAGGTGATAACTGTTACCTTTCCATGGTGTTCAGGGCTACGTGGGATCTGACGTGATGTATGATGAGACAGCCATTTCCTCAGCCCCACCTCCCTATACAGCTTATGCTACACCGTCACCTGAGGTAAGAATTGCAGTTGGGAAGCATTAAAATAAGTGAGGTAGCAGCAGTGGCCATCCTTCAGGCACCCAAACTGTACTCCCTGAGTGCTGTCTTTCACAGATCAAGCTTTAAGGTTTGTACAAAAAGAGAGCGAGAATAAGGTACTAACAATCTACTGTCACTCCAATTTGAGGTGGATTTCCTTTGAAAGGGATGAGGCAGAT